CCATCTCTACTAAAAATAGAAAACAACAACAACAACAACAACTAGCCAGGCATTGTGGCAGGTGCCTTTAGTTCCAGCTACTGGGGAGGCTGAGGCAAGAGGATGACGTGAGCCAAGGAATTTGAGGTTGCTGTAAGCTATGTCACCACAGCACTGGCTAGCCAGGACATTAGAGTGAGACTTTCAAAACAAACAAACAACAAAACTACAACTTTTTTTTTTGCTGTTTTTGGCCGGTGCCCTACTCCTTTGAGCCACAGGCACTGCCAAAACTACAAAATTCTAAGGTGAAAAGTGATTTGGCCAAAAGGAAAAAAAAAAGAAAGGTGGCGCCTGTGGCTCAAAGGAGTAGGGCACTGGCCCTAAATACTAGAGGTGGTGGGTTCAAACCCAGCCCCAGCCAAAAGCTGCAAAAAAAAAAAAAAAAAAAGGAAAAAACCCAATGAAAGATTGTTTTACATTGTTATAGAAACTAGAAGTGTGTATAGGATTTTGTTTGTGTTTTATTTTGGTGGATTTAGGATTGCACCAGAACAGACTGATGAATCATAAACTTTTTGCTCTGTTTCCTACCTCCTGACTGGCTGAGACAAGTTTGATCTTAGACAAGTTTAAATCAAGTGAAGTTTTTCCCATATGGTAAACAATAATGACTTGACACATTTGTTTGAGAAATAATCAATAAAAGTGATGTTAAAGCATTCTACAAGTGAAAAAAACAAAGCACAGTGCAACAATTACATCCTGGGTGTATTCAGTTGGTAGTTTTATGGTATACAAAGAAAACAGGCCAAAGGCTATGCAGCTGTGCAGCTGTGCACTGATTAATCAGAAAGTCATGAAAGAAATTGCCTTTTCAGGCTGGGAGTGGTGGTTCATGCCTGTAATCCTAACACCCTAGGAAGATGGCTCGAGCTCAGGAGTTCAAGACCAGCCTAAGCAAAGTAAGACCCCATCTCTACTGAAAATAATAGAAAAATAGAAAATTGTTGTGGTTGCCTGTAGTCCCAGTTACTCAGGAGGCTGAGGCAGGAAGATAGTTTGAATCCAGGAGTTTGAGTTTTCTGTGAGTTACCCTGAGGCCATGGTAGTCTAGCCCAGGCAAGAGAATGAGAATCTTGTGTCAAAGGAAAAAAAGTATGAAGCTGACATTTTCTTGTCTTTTTTTTTTTTTTTTTTTGAGACAGAGTTTCACTTTGTTGCCCTCAGTAGAGTACGGTGGCGTCACAGCTCACAGCAACCTCCAGCTCTTGGGCTTAGGCGATTCTCCTGCCTCAGCCTCCCAAGTAGCTGGGACCACAAGCGACCGCCACAATGTCTGGCTATTTTTTTTTTCTTGTTTTTTTTTTGTCGAGACAGAGTTCTACCCTATTCCCTGAGCAGAGTGCAATGGCATCGGTGCTCACTGCAACCTCAGACTTGGGCTATGGGCATCCTGCTGCCTTAGCCTCCGAAGCTGCTGGGATTACAGGCGCTGGCCACGGCTCCTGGCTGGGTTTTTCCATTTTTTCCCAAGAGTCAGGGTCTTACTCTCGCTCAGACAAGCCTTGAACTCCTGAGCTCAAGCAATCCTCCCGCCTCAGCCTCCTATAGTGCTGGGATTACAGGTGTGAGCCACTGCACCTGGCTATATCTGGCTATTTTTTTGTTGCAGTTTGGCTGGGGTCAGGTTTGAACCCGCCACCCTCGGTATATGGGGCTGGCTCCCTACTCACTGAGCCACAGATACCACCCTGAAGCTGACATTTTCTACTGGTATATATTTGGGTGTAGAGAGTCAAAGCCAAAGCACCTAGTATGTGCTCAATGCTGCACAGATGCTGAAAGAAATCTGAAAGGTTTAAAATATGCTCCCTGTTCTGGGTAATTTTCCAATTTTGTGTGTGGTGAAATAATTGGTATGAATACAACCAGTGGCTGGATACTAAGGCACGTGATAAGGGTCATAGGTAGTCAAAGAAGGAATATACCAGGATAACCTGGAAACATCTGTCTAGCAAAGAATGCCGGAAATGTATTAGGCATTCCCTAATCTGGGGTGCAAAGACAGTAGATAAAAAAGAACATTCCAGGGCGGCGCCTGTGGCTCAGTGAGTAGGGCACTGGCCCCATATACCGAGGGTGGCGGGCAGGTTCAAACCCAGCCCCGGCCGAACTGCAACCAAAAAATAGCTGGGCGTTGTGGTGGGCGCCTCTAGTCCCAGCTACTTGGGAGGCTGAGGCAAGAGAATCACTTAAGCCCAGGAGTTGAAGGTTGCTGTGAGCTGTGTGACGCCACAGCACTCCACTAAGGGCAACAAAGTGAGATTCTATCTCTACAAAAAAAAAAAAAAAAAAAAAGAACATCCCAAAGGGCAGTGCCTGTGGCTCAGTGGGTAGGGCGTACTGGCCCCATATACCGAGGGTGGCAGGTTCCAACCCAGCCCCGGCCAAACTTCAAAAAAAACAAAAAAATAGCTGGGCATTGTAGTGGGTGCCTGTAGTCCCAGCTACTTGGGAGGCTGAAGCAAGAGAATTGCCTAAGCCTAGGAGTTGGAGGTTGCTGTGAGTTGTGACACCATGACGCTCTACTGAGGGTAATAAAGTGAGACTCTGTCTTAAAAAAAAAGAACATTTCAGAATTATAGATAGGGCAGACAAATAGAACATAAGTTGATGAAAAAGTCTTTGAAATGTTATATAAAGTATCAAGATGATCACTGAGGCTTCTCTGCCTTAGCCTTCTAAGTAGCTGGGACTACAGGCGCCCACCATAACACTGGGCTATTTTTTTTTGTTGTAGTTGTCATTGTTGTTTTTAGCAGCCCCAGGCTGAGGTTTGAACCCACCAGTCCCGGTTTATGTGGCTGGCACCCTAACCACTGAGCCACAGGCTAAGACAGAGAATCACTTAAGCCCAAGGTTGACTGTGAGTGTGATGCCACAGCACTCTACTGAGGGTGACACAGTGAGACTGTCTCAACAACAACAACAAAAAGATTATCACTGAGGTTATCTGCTTTTTTCAAAGACCCAATATTATTGCTTGTTAAGATTTCTTTTGTCTGAAATAGGCTGAGGTTTTTGTTTCCTCCTAAGTAGAGAGATTGGACTAAGGGGTTCACTCATTTATGCCTTGGAGGAATGACTAAAACAGATGTATTGGATGCCTGAAACTGACTCTGAGTTTTATCTTATCTCTGTGAGTAGCCACCGATCAAGAGCTTACAAAGAAAATTAACTTAAACTGAAGTTAGTCCGGGTTTTACTGCCACCACTTGGCAATTCTCTCTACCTCTTAGGAGCAGCAACCTCCCCCCCCACCCCACCCCCACACACTTGTCCCCATCGCTAAACCCAGTTCCCTAGGGGGCACAGCTTCTTAGTAAGTATCCTCTAAAACAACCCCAGGTAGGAGTTTATCTGGTAAGTAAATAAAGAACTCCCACTTAAACACCATTCTAATTTACACCCAGATGACACAACCGTCCTCCTTCTAAGACGTTTATTATACACATCAAAAGTTAAGAATGGTTGTGAAATCCCCAAACTTAAAAAAAAGAACAAGTACGTGGCAATCGGATGAATGATCTCTTAGATGGTTCATCCTTTCAGAGGAACCCAGCACTGGACCCCTGGATTCTCTGGCTGCAACTCCCCCGTAATTAGCACGCTTCCCATTAACAGCCCTCCCTCCCTTCTCTCCCCGCCTTGACTCTTACCCTCCTCTTTTCACAGCAAACTCTGTCCCCACCCACCTGACCAGAGTTACTTCTGAGGCAGCACAGATTTCCTTGGCAGCCAGCCAGGCAGCCACAGGTCTTTCGTGCCGCCCTCCTGCGACCTGTGGACATTGCTCTCCTGGGTCACATAAAGATTTGTTCTTGGAGGGGTGGGGAGTCACGGGGTATGACACACCTCTTGGGGACGCAATTACAAGAGGGACTTTACCTAACAAATGCAATCAGTGTAACCTGGTTGTTTGTACCCTCAACGAATCCCCAACAATTGAAAAAAAAAAAAGATTTGTTCTTTACGGGAAGTTATATATTTATTACCATGACATTTGGTTTTTTTTTGAGACAGAGCCTCAAGCTGTCCCCCTGGGTAGAGTGCTGTGGCATCACAGCTCACAGCAATCACCAACTCTTGGGCTCAAGCGAGTCTCCTGCCTCAGCCTCCCAAGTAGCTGGGACCACAGGCGCCCGCCACAACGCCTGGCTATTTTTTTTTTTTTTTTTTGGTGTTGTTGCAGCCATCTTTGTTGTTTGGCGGGCTCAGGCTGGGCTCGAACCCACCACCTTAGGTGTACATGGCTGGCCCCTTAGCCACTTGAGCCACAGGTGCCGAGCCACCATGACATACTTTTAAACACTTCTTCCAGACCCAATTACTAAATGTTGAACATGTAAACGCTTAATGGTAATAGATTAGTTTCTGTAATCCTCCTAAAAACAGAAACAAAAACCACTCCGTGAGGTCCGGCGCAGCGGCTCCTGCCTGTAATCCTAGCACTCTGGGAGGCCGAGGCAGGTGGATTGCTTGAGCTCAAGAGTTCGACTCCAGCCTGAGCAAGAGTGAGACTCCGTCTCTACTAAAAATACAAAAACTAGCCGGGTGCGGTGGCTGGCACCCGTAGTCCCAGGTATTTGGGAGGCTGAGGCAAGAGGATCGCTTGATCCCAAGAGTTTGAGGTTGGTGGGAGCGATGATGTCAGGGGACTCTACCCAGGGCGGTAGAGGAAGACTGTCTCCCAAAACAAACAAAAAAAGCACTCCGTGAAACAGGGACCAACACAAACCCCGCGTCACAGGTGAGGACACAGCGGTGACGCAGCTTGCCGGGTCCCAGAACTAGTATACAGCGAGACGCAGCTTGCGCCCAGCTGGTCTGAGTCGCAGCGCACGACCGCGCGAAGCACTTTCTACCTGGCCACGGCTCGCACCGTGACGCGCTGGAGACATCCAGGAGGGCCCTCCCTGCGGGCCTGGAAGACACGTCACCGCGGGGCGGGGGCCTTCGGGAGCCCCGCCCCCGGCCAGTTAACTGGCGGCAGCTGCGCGGGCGCCCAGTTCGCAGCGAAGCGGTCGGAGGAGGTGCGTCCGGGCGGCGAGGGCCATGGCCACGGTGCGGGAGAAGGCGGCCGCGCTGAACCACTTGCCCCTCCACGGCCCCGCGCACAAGCCTCCCGGTAGGTGCCCAGGACCCTCTCCAGGGACGCCGCGGGCGGGCTGTGGTTCTGGCGCGAGGCAGGCGGGCGGGGGAGGCGTGGGCGTTCGGCCACCCCTACCCGGACAGCTGCGGTGTCCCGCACAGCTGTTGACTACTCCGCCGACTGCGGCCAGCTGGGGTTCCTCTCCGGTGCTGGTGGACCCCGCCGCCCGCGTAATATGGCTCTTTTACTAAGTTGCCCAGACTTTACCTTCACCCCGCGTTGGTGCGCCCGCTATGTGCCAGGCAGTCGCTGTACGTCTGGATAAGGCTCCACATGGTTACTGGTGAAAAGTATGATGGTACCTGGGATGTACAAGGCTGTTTGTCCGTGGCTTCACCCAACAAACCTTGACTGCACAGTAATGGCCAGGGACCAAGTGCTCCCTTGCCCACATTGTACTCCAGACTGGCAGGAATAGTCACGTTGATCTCTCCAGACTCTTCCAGGGAGAGATGAGGTTTTTTTCTTGTGTAAGTTCTACTGGCAGGAACTTGACATAAATTGTTAACAGTTTCTGAATAAGTACTATTTATGTGATTTTTTTTTTACTTTTAAAAAAAGTTACATGACATTAGCATAGAAGTCAGTGAATTGGGGGCATTTTGTTTAGGATCTTGGTCTCTTCAGAATTTCAAACAAATGAACGTAGATTATCCGTTCTAAAATGCTGATTCTAGGATATACACAACTCAGTAAATAGGTCTGAATTGGCCAGAAAACACTTGGCCTTTATTTCTTTTGGATAAGTTAAAATTTTTCCTCTTTCTGGAGTTCCATAATAGGGTGTTTTAGGAGGAATTGGTTTCCTATCAGACAAAAGTTTTTCATTTGTAAAATGCCAACTCGTGAAACTGACTCCTTCCTCTAGGTCATATGGGTGCATCTCAGTGGCCCACTCTTGTGTTTAACTTAACTAATTAATGCCCCTTTTAATCTTCAAAATGCTAGTGATAAATTGTGATACAGAAACTTTTTTTTTTTTTTTTGAGACAGAGTCTTACCCTATTGCCCATGGTAGAGCACCCCAGCATCACAGCCCTCAGCAACCTTCAGCTCCTGGACTCAGGCCATCCTCCTGCCTCAATGTCCCCCATCCACACCCCCTAGCAGCCGGGACCACAGGTGCCCGCCCCAACACCCTGCCATCTTTTCGTTGCAGTTTGGCCAGGGCGGGGTTTGAACCCCTCACCCCCGGTTATGGGGTCGTCCTACTCACTGAGCCACAGGCGCCGCCCAGAGAAACTTTTTTGTTTGTACTTTTTTTTTTTTTTTTTTGAGACAGAGTCTCACCATGTCCCCCTAGGTAGAGTGCCATGTCCTCCCAAGTAGCTGAGACTACAGGTGCCCGACACAATGCTGGGCTATTTTTTGTTGCAATTTTCTTTGTTGTTTAGCAGGCCCTGGGCTGGGCTCGAACCCACCATCTCGGTGCATTTGGCCAGCGCCTTTCTCACTGAGCTATGGACACCGAGCCTCGTTTGTACTTTTTTAAGAAACATCATAATATTGACCTTAGTCTGCTTCCATTTAAAGAATTCAGATAAGCACAATATGGCCACAGAGCATCTCCTTCATGTACTTTGAGAGGAAAAATACTAAAACATTTAGGAATTTAAAGCCAATGATACTGAAAAACAGTCTTGAGAAATCTTTAGGTTCGCTTTCTGAGTGACTAAACCCCCGCCCCTCATTTCACCTGCTTAAAAACATGATACTCTGTTTTCTCTAACAGCTGAAATACCCATTGTGGGTTTTGGGCATTTGTGAACAAGTTAGTAGATGGTGTACAGGAGTATGTATTCAAAAAGTAAGTAGGGCAGCACCTGTGGCTCAAGGAGTAGGGCGCTGGCCCCATATACTGGGGTGGCAGGTTCAAAGCCGGCCCCGGTCAAAAATATAAATAAAAAATAAAATGAAAAATTATTTTAAAAAAATTAAATAGCAGACTCTCAGAAGGAAGAGTTATAGTGCTGGTCATTTTTTTTATCAATTTTATCAAAGGAAAAGAAAACCACTATCCTTGGCATACCAGCTGCAGTGGCCTGGGAAGGGCCCTCCTGTGTGCTCAATTATTTTGCTGGCTACAGCTGAAGTCCCTACCCGTTAGCATTTGTTAACCCTCCTTCTAGGTTAGTTGCCTAGTAGAAGTCCAGTTCCTGAAACATTGCTTGCCATTCCTTTTCTGTGAGTTCTGGCAGGCAGCTTTGTACTTTTGTTTCTCCACGGATTAGTAACTCTCCCATAACTTAAAGGAGCTATAACCTTTAAGAGACCTGGTTAATGTAGAAGAAATAAAGTCAGTAACTTCAGTCAGTACTTCAAACACACTTGTCTTTTAATGATATGACTAACAAGAAAGTGGTGTGTTATCCTGTTATCCCTTTAGAATGTAACCTAATCCTTTGAGTTTGCCTGGTGTCACTTTTCCAGGGAGCTCAAAGTACTTCCCATTTGCTATCTCATTAATGTGTGAATTAAAGCAGGGACCAAGCCTGCTTTGTTGATAGTCATCTCAACATATTTTAGAATTATTCTTGTTAGTAGACTTATTTTACATGTTTAACCTTCCTGCAGCTTTCTTTTTAGAGGTGATCTCAGCCTTCAGTATGACATCTCTAATGCCAAATAAGAAAATCAACTTTGGACTACCAAAACCAATATCCAGTAAAAGTGTTGCAATTTTGTCAATAATACAGGAATTTTTTTCCACTCAGTCATAGCTTTCCAGGTTTAACATGACAAACACGATTTTCTTTACATTTATCTGTTTTCAGGACATTTTGGTTACTGTCCGACAAATGTTCTTTTCCTCTGTCTTGACAATTCTGTACTGTTTTAAAATACTGAAAAATATTTTAAGATACAATAATAAATGATTTAGAATTTATAGATTTGTTTTCTGATGAAAAGTTAACTCCTTGGATTGTGTCAAATCTTGCCTTCTCGAAACTGTTGAGCATTGTTTGATTGACTACTGTTCAGAGCTTGATATCATCCTGATGGTAGTAATAAAGGGTAAACTCCTAAGGGTGCAGACTATGTCCTCTGAGTTCAGAGGAAGAAAGAAACCTCCCTTAAAATTTTAGTATAGAATCACTAAAAAGTGATGAAGTTAGTATATACAGTTTCCATATGCCCTACACTCAGTTTTATTATCTAACGTTACTTAGTATGGTCTATTTGTTATAATTAATGGACTGATACTGATAACATGATTATTAACTAAAGTCCACACTTCATTTCCTTGGTGTTTCTGTTTCAGGACCCTATCCAGGATGTTATGTTCCATTGAGTTGTCATGTCTCCTTAGACTGTCGACTGTGGCAGTTTCTTCCCTTTGTTTTTAGTTATACATCTGTTAATTGCTGGGCACTGTATTAGCCACATCAACATATATTATCATATGATCCTTAAAATAACTGGGAGAAGTAGAGTTAGCTCTGTTTACAATAAAAAAGTTGGGCAGTTTGCCCAAGGTTGCATTATCAGTAAGTGATAGACCCAGGAATGAAACTCAGGTCTTTGGCACTCCAGAGACCTTGCTGGTCTAACTGTTCGTTGCACCTAGCACTGGGTCTGCTGCATTAGCACACATTTCCATGTTGGCACAGTATTCGGTCAACCCAGGCTTTCTTCACCGCAGCACTGTTGACATTTTCTTTGCTGTGGGGGCTGTCTGTGCACTGTAGGATGTTCAGCAGCATCCCTGGCCTCTATCCACTAGGCACCAATAGCACTTTTCCCATTGTGATAACCAAAAATGTCTCCAGATGTGTCCTGTGACAGGTAAAATCTGCCTACTGAGAACCATGGGGTTATTAAACCTTCTTTAAAAATCTTTACTAGTGGCTTGGCGCCTGTGGCTCAAGTGGCTAAGGCGCCAGCCACATACACCTAAGGTGGCGGGTTTGAATCCATCCTGGACCCGCCAAACAACAATGACGGCTGCAACCAAAAAATAGCTGGGCGTTGTGGTGGACGCCTGTAGTCCCAGCTACTTGGGAGGCGGAGGCAGGAGACTCGCTTGAGCCCAGGAGTTGGAGGTTGCTGTGAGCTGTGATGCCATGGCACTCTACCCAGGGTGACAACTTCAGGCTCTGTCTAAAAAAAAAAAATCTTTACTAGTTAGGAATAATCAACAACCAACAAAGAAGACTAGCCAACTGTGTATGTTGTGCTAAGGGAATCCATAAAGCAATAAGATAATTTGAACCTCTGTAAACTATAAGGAAATTAAAAAAAAA